CTCCGTGTGGATCGGGGGCTCCATCCTGGCCTCCCTCTCCACCTTCCCGCATATGTGGATCAGCAAGCAAGAGTACGATGAGTCTGGCCCATCCATCGTCCACCGCAAACGAATGTAGAAATACAATCCATTTCCTTGCTGGCTGTGTGCTCCCTCCTTTACCAGAGATGGCCCCCAAACTCCTTCCCAAGCTCCCCAGCACCTGGTGTGTGCAGGCAGGCCTGCTCCATTGGAGGAGGTAGCTTATGGCCAGCAGGACAAGTAGCCACAGAGAACCTCCAGCTCCATGACTCTGTCCAGTCCCTTTTTAAAGCCTTCCAAATTGTTGGCAGCCACTGCTTCCCGTGAAAGCAAATCCCATCCTTTAGCTGTGCGCTGCGTGAAGATGGCCGTCCTCATCCGTCAGCTGCATGGGATGACCCAAGGTCTGAGTGTTATGAGACAGCAAGAAATGCCCCCCCCACGCCATTTATACACCTCTGTCGTGTCTCCCCTTCCTCACTGTTTTCCAAGCTAAACCGTCCCCGTTGTTGTGTCCGCTCCTCCTAGGTGACCCGCCCCAGGCCTCAATCATTTATGCAGCCCTTTGCTGGTCAAAAATAAAAGCGCATTGCTGAATGGATTGCCTGGATGCCTTGTATTTTCCCTGCCTGAGCAATGGGCTGTGCCACCGATTTGGATGGACTGGACCGGATCTTGAGAACGCGATTCAGTCCATATTTGTTTGTTTGTTTGTTTATTAAAAGCTTTTGTATGTTGTCCTATTATACAAGCTCTCAGGGCAGCTTACAATATTTAAAAAGACAATTAAAACAACAATTTCGATAAATAATACAACAGAACAAAACAATAAATCGCAAAACAAACAGAGCGACTTAACTTACATACGTTTAAAGTTTAAAATACTGTTTCAATAAAAAGGTTTTGGCCTGGCGCCGAAAAGAATATAAATGTGGCGCCAGGCGTGCCTCTCTGGGGATTCATTCCAGCGTCTGGTTGCCACAGCAGAGAAGGCCCTACTCCGAGTTGATGACCTTTCTACCTCTCTTGGAGAGGGTTCCCGGAGCAGGGCTTCTCCCACAGATCTTAAGGGGCGTGAGCGCATATTAGGAAGGAGGCGTTCCTTCAGGTATCCCTGTCCCAAGCCATTCAGGGCTTTATCGGTCAAAACCAGCACCTTGAATTGGGCCCAGACTTCAACTGGAAGCCAGTGGAGCTGGTAGAGGACTGGCATTATGCGAGAGTAACGGCCGGTCCCCGTCAGCAGCCTGGCAGCTCTATTCTGCACCAGTTGCAGCATCCGGACCATTTTCAAGGGCAGCCCCACGTGGTCCAAGCGGGAAGTTCGCAGAGCGTGTGTCACTGTTGCCAGGGAGGGCTCATCCATGTAAGGACTCAGCTGACGGATCAGTCGAAGTTGTAGAAAAGCACTCCTTGCCACTGCCGCCTCCTGGAACTCCAGTGACAGCTCTGGGTCAAGGACTACCCCCAAGCTGCAGACCCCGTCCTTTAGGGGGAGCGCTACCCCGTCCAGAACTGGGTCAAAATCACCTACCTGGAGACCCGCACCGCCCACCAACAGGACTTCCGACTTATCTGGATTGAGGCTCAGTTTATTGGCCCTCATCCAGCCCATGAACTCGGCCAGGCACCGGTTCGGTACAGCCACCGCCTCACCTGGAGCAGATGTAAATGAGAGGTAGAGCTGGATGAGGTGTCAGTATGTCGAACATGGACTGGAATTCTGTATATCGCGGGCAGTACAAGAGCCAGGGTGGGGCAGCTCAGTTTCCTCTGCCTGGACGGTTCTCCTTTGGAACGAATGGGTGTCTGTGTAATGTGTGGAAGGGAATCGTCCGATGGGGATTTCCTGGCTTCCAGATCATGCAGTGTAGCTGGACTGGAGCTCAGGAGTTCTGTGTTCTGGGTCTCCCCCTGCCCTGAAACTTGCAGGGTGACTTCAGGCCAGTCAGTTACTCTCTGCGTCTCCTACCTCACAGGGTTGTTATGAGGATAAAAACAAGGGGAAGAAAAGGAAGATTGTGGAAGCTGCTTTGGGTTCCTTGCAGGAACAATGGCCTGCATACAAATGTTTTAAATAAATATAAAAGGGTGGGAAATAAACACAATCCATGTTTTTCTCTTTTCCCTGCTCCCTTGTTTAAAACCCAGTTGTGGACAACGCAGAACCTCTCCTACCAAATAAACCCTTAGTGCTTCCTACACCAGAAGATCATGGCGTTGTCTCTATTTTTATTTTTTGTAATAGACCTTACATATTTCTGCTTTGTTTCTTCAGAATAACCCTAACATATATTTATTTTAAAGAAAAAGAAAGCAAAGCAATTTCACATTTCTATGAAAAGTTTCAAAGCTGCAGATACCATAATCCAAGAGAAAAGTAGTAAAGCAATGAATTTGATTAAGTGGCTGGGAATGCGGGGTCCGAGAGTTAGAAGCAGATCACACCAAATACAAGAATTCAGGTGTTCCTTTCTTTGAAACAAGTAAATGATTAGCAAAGGTTAAGGGCGAGTGGAAGAAGGGGGGAAATGCTCTTTCAGGGAGAGGTTGAGTTGGGTTGACTTCACAGGAGGAAATGCAAGTGTTGACGAAAGGATGGGCATCTCCAGCGCGGGATCCACCCTCTCCAGCGGAATCCTGTCTCCACTCCACACACTCAGAAATTCATTCTGAGAGCGAGCCTGGAAAAGGCTTTGGCCACTAAGGAACGTTTTGCAAGAAAGGTCTGTGGCTTTGCATGTGTGAAGGGCAGAACACCAGCTGAATACGGCACTCATTCCTAAATTGGAGCCGAACACAGACTTGTTGGCTGGAGTTCCCCACCAGCATCCATGCCAGCTGCGTAAAAGAGGTGATTGCAGAATATAATCATATCTGGAAGCAATCCCAGATTCTCCTCTGTGCTTACTTGCTCATTGGTCTAGCGCAGCGGTCTTTGGACCTGAGATACCCGAGGGATCCTTCTCAGCGCAGAATCCATTCACGTATGTAATACAATGAAAACAGAAACTCTTTATAAATGCATTAAAGAACCTATTTATTACTTAGCAATTAAATAATACTGAATTTACAAAATACATTCTAATTTTTACTATAAGATTACAAACAGATAATATGAAAAAATATACTTCATTTTAATGGCTTGGATAGCTTGCTTTTTGCCGCACAGAAAAATCAGCATTTGGTGTTATTGATGACAGTTGCAAGCACATTTCTGGTTCTGCACCCATTTCATTCCCATATTAAGCATCTGTGATTGTTGTTCCTTGCCATTTGGATCCACTTGACTTCACACACATACCTTTAAAAGCAGATTAATTTGTTTTAAAGGCTCTGAATTAAAATAAATGGTGTTGACTTCTCTCGCTTAAAGGAAACAAAAACAGAAAAAAGGAAGATCTTACAATTAGTAAAACCCTAGTTGATTCTCATGGGACCCTTGGGTTCTGGGGAACAGTTTGAATACTCCTAATACTAGACTATCAGTTTCTGGCTGATCATGGATTGCCTGCAACTTCCCAGACCTAACAGACATATCTACTCCTTATGATAAAGGTATTTCCAACTGTGGGTTTTGGAATGTTTCTTATGAACCATCATGGCTTCCTCCTGATGTTGGTGGGTGGCAGTTCCCACCTGAGAACTGGGCAAACAGCTGCATCCTAGCTTAGAAAAACCCAGGCTAGCTGGACTGACCTTTTCTTTTGATGTAAGGCGACATCTGTGTAAACGTACTTCTGGGGAGAGGTTGCAGGCTTGGTTGCGATGCATGAGGCAGGAGAACCATTCTCATGCCATCTGACCAGCTTGCTTCTCTCACCTGAACAGGTGTGTCTGGGACTCCCCTGGCCTAGAGAGAAAATAGCTGCTGTGTGGACAGACCCAACTCAGGAAGAAATCTGTAAATCTCTGTACTATGCCCTGATCTTGGGTGTAGTGCTTTGTACGCACCCAGCCCCCTGTTCTTTCAGCTGTCTATGCCGACACCCGTTGTTGGCATCAATGCTCAACACATACAGAGAACTCACTGTGGTTCAAGGTACATAAGCTGGAGAAGTCCACAATCTGGCCTTGATCTGTGGAAATGGCTGGGTGTCCATTATGCATTAGGAAAACTATCCGAGAGCGGTCGGTGGCCACCTGGGAGCAGAGAGAGAAGAAAGTGAGCAACTACCGTGAGAAGTTAGTGTTGGCACTGGGGTCACTTCTCCAGAAATACAGCATTCCAAGGTGACAACCAGAGACACTACATCTGAGCTGGAAGAAGAGGCAAGATCAGTGTTCAGCTGAAATGTCAAGGCCAGCAAGGCCTGAGGCAAGCCAAGAAGCGAGTAAAGACCAGACCCTAACCTTAACTAGACCTGAGAAGGATGTCTGTAATTTAATAAATCCCAGGATCCAATGCTAGCTCAAGCAAGCTGGCCAACTGAGTAACATCTGGCATTCCGGCTGTCTGGCCCACAAGCCGTGGGAACCTTCCTGAGGGTGGACTGGGCTCTTTTTGTTCTGCAGGGAGGAGAGGGATTCAGTTCCAAATGGACTTTTTGATCTGCATTGTATTTTCTCTCCTTAACAAGACAGAATGTCTTTTGCTAATGACCTCTGCAATACTCTTTCTGTTTCACAATGCTGGCCTGTTTTACCATAATAAAGTCTCTAGTTAGGAGTATCTTGCTCTGCTTGGAAGGTCAAAGGGAAGTGGAATGAGCAACCTGTTTACAACAGATAGACACAGTTGAAGGTTCGAATTCCTTATTCCTTTTGGCAACTGTTTCCCAACTAGGATTCAGAGATGAAAGCAGGTAACCATGTCACTCGACATGCTCACACCAGATTTGCTCAGGATATGCAGATGATTCATTGCAAATAATTGCTGTAAAATTAACAAATTTGTTGTTCTCCAACAGGCTTGCTTACAAATGGCGGGCAGTGAAACAGCCATTGTGGTTATTGACAATGACTCGAGAACATGCAAAGCAGGGTTTGCTGGAGACGGTTCACCCAGGGTGGTGGTCCCCACCGTTGTGGGGAGGCCAAGGTGCCAGGGTGTCTTGCAAGGCATTGGCAAAGAGGACTACTATGTGGGCTACGAAGCTCAGAGCAAGAAAGCCATCCTGACCCTACAGAACCCCTTGGAATGTGACTACATCTATAACTGGGAGAACATGGAGAAGATCTGGCACCACTTGTATGACAGGTTGTGGGTGGCCCCGGAGGAGCACCCAGTGCTGCTCACAGAAGCGCCACTGAACCCCAAAGCCACCCGGGAGAAGATGGCCCAGGTCATGTTCGAGACCTTCAACACACCGGCCATGTACTTGGCCATCCAGGCGGTGCTGTGCCTCTACGCCTCTGGCCGCACCACTGGCTTTGTCCTTCATGCAAAGCATGAACGAATGTGTCCTGCTACTGTCTATGAGGGTCACGCCCTGCCCTACTCATTCTTGCGTATGGACATTGGAGGCCGTGACCTGACCGACTACCTCATGAAGATCCTCTCTGAGAAAAGCCACAGCTTCACCTCTGCAGATGGGACGGCAATAGCAGAGGACGTCAAGGAGAAGCTCTGCTACGTCGCCCTGGACTTCGAGCAGGAGATGGCCACGGCCGCCTCGTCGTCCTCCCTGGAGAAGAGCTACGAGCTGCCCGACGGGCAGGTGATCACCATTGGCAACGAGCGCTTCCGCTGCCCCGAGGCCCTCTTCCAGCCCTCCTTCCTGGGCCTGGAGTCGTGCGGCATCCATGAGATCGCCTTCAACTCCATCATGAAGTGCAACAAGGACATCCGCAAGGACCTGTACGCCAACACGGTGCTTTCGGGTGGAGCCATCATGTTCCCGGGCATTGCCGACCGGATGCAGAAGGAGATCACGGGCCTGGCCCCCAGCACCATGAAGGTCAAGGTCATCGCCCCCCCAGAGGGCAAATACGCATCCTGGATCGGGGGCTCTGCCTTGGCCTCCCTCTCCACCTTCCGGCAGATGTGGATCAGCAAGCAAGAGTACGATGAGTCTGGCCCATCCATCGTCCACTGCAAATGCTTTTAAGGTCCTTCAGGTGAGGTTCTTGGCTTCTGCCTTTCATACTAGAAATGCAGTACTGATGACTTAGAAAGCAGCGCCAACCTTTTGCACTGTAAGACTGGGAAGCTTGTCTGACCTCAGGCTGACCAGATCAAAGAAATCCACTCCGCATCTTTATGGCAGCACTATAACAGTGGGATATGGATGAAAAGAGACTCTTGGCCCTCGGACAATGACACAGGCCTCCTCATGCTGTACCTGCCGCTGTGACTTTGTTTACTCTCCCCTCCAGTTGTGACAAACCTCCAATTTCTGACGTAGGCCAGTGAAATGGAGCAGACAAACCCGACTTGGACTAGGAAGACCGAAACAAAAAGCAAGATCAGGTGCTGAAAAGGGCATTTTTGAAAAATGCAGGCAAAGGCTGTTGGCCGATGAAAAATTCGCTCTTCTTTGTAAAGATCATTTCAAAGACTGCTGTATGCAAATCGTAGCTCGAAAATGATGCACACTGAGGAAGGAGCCACAGACTGCATTCAGGCATCTTGTAGGTTGTCAATGAAACTTGATTATCATGTTGTCTGAACCCAACCAAGATTGCAGACTGTGGTGAACCATCAGGTCGTGACCCAGCAGCAAACCACGGATTCTCTTCATGGGTTGGTCATGGCTAACAAGCCATGGAATGTCAGCACACCTGAGTGCAGATGATGCGATCACCCGTGTTTCAAAGTCAAGCCAAACTTAACCCGTGAGTGCCCTGTTGTTTGAACCCAGTCACAGACTCTTAAAAATAGCCCTATTTGACATCTGAGTTGACATCTGAGTAGACTCAGATCATCATGCGAAATCAGCGAAAGTCTGCACCTTTGCTGATGAAGCAAGATCCTAAATTTTGCCTTGAATACACTTCTATACTTTCGTCCCTGCTCTTCTATCCTTCGTCTTATACAACTGCTCAGAAGTGGGCTGTTCTTTTCGTAATATCAGCGGAACCACCAGCCTCTATGCAGCCTCCTAGCTGACTACCTCAGCCATTGACATCAGAATTGAGCCTTCTCTCACTGTGGGTCACAGGAAGACTGGATCTCATCAAGAAGCCATTTTGGTCAGTCCCCTGCAAAGCAGCCCCTCTGTTCTTTTGTTTCCATGGACTTATCCAAATGACGAATCCAAAGATGCTCTGTAAGGACTCACACTCTCTTTCCTGCAAAGAACTCTGCACATGCTCTGAGACCTAAAATCCCATTCGACCAGATAAAACGCGGCTTGCTACACTATATTGATTTTATTGCTTTTATTTGCAAGGTTGTGCATGATCGTTCCTTTGATGCTTCCTCCTCATCTCAGATAAAGTCACACTTTAGTTGGTTTCACTGGTTTTATAAGATACTTGATATTTCCTCCTAAAAGTTCCGCACATGTTTAAACGACCAGGACCCCTTGCTCATGCCCGACCGTAACTTCTGGACTTTGTTGATCAGCAAACGTGTGGTCAAAATAATGCAGGTTGGAGGAATCCGCATCAGCAGGAGTTGTAAACCCATTTCAGGAATTATCCGTGGCGCGGAAGTTAATTTTGGGAGATGGACACGGTGGAGCACCAGGGATAGCTTGTTCTTTGTATGTTTTAAACGTTGGTTAACCGCTCGCAGAGCTTCGGCTACTGACCCGTATAATAAACAAATAAGTGAATGCCATAGTAGGTTGAAGAAGAATTGAAGCCAGTTCGGGTAACTTTACCTAATGGTTGGAGGGGATGGTCTCTCGGAGATTTAATACAAAAGGAACCTTTAAGTAATAGATGGATTTTATCTTCTCAGAAATGGAACTATGCTTTCCTATCCACACTTAAGCTAATGCTGCAACTCCATAGTCACCTAGGAGTAACCCTGCCTGAACGGGATGGTTCTCACTTCTGAGTAGGCATATAAAGGATTGCACTGGTAGACTGCAGTCCTAAAACTGCTGCCCTGGACCTTAGTCCCTGGACTTACTTCTGAGTAGGCTTGTATGGCATTGCACTCTATAATAATCCTACTTTTTCGCATTCTCCATTGTCTGTGGGCGCTCAAAGGAACCCAGGTGTAAGGATACCTGCGCATGTCTATAATTAAAAATCTACGGTCAATTGCTGGCGAATCAGCGATTTCAGCGTGCCGCGAAGGAGTCTGGGATTTGCAGTTCTACCTGGAGGGGGACGAGTTCTGCCGCAAGGCCACAAAAGGGACTCGCTGTGTGACGTCAACGGGTTCCCCGTTCCCTCCAATCAAAAAAGCGCGGAGGGCGGGCCTCGAAACGGCGCAACCAATTGTCGCGCGCGATTCCGGGCGCGACGCATTTAAAACGAATCAAGGCGTAGAGCTTTGTACGGATGGTTATTGACTGTTTCCCGAGTGGAGAACTCGCCGCCGTGCAAACGGTGTTCCGATAGCTGCGTCGAGGTGAGCTTTCTCTGGCCTTTATTTCTATTTCTTTAGCATTTTAATATCCCCTTCTTTTTCCTGCAGGGAATTCGTGGTGGCTTTTCCCATTATGATGGTAGCTGCCCAAAGTCATCCTGTGAATGTCATGGCCCCATGCGGGCTAGAACTTTGATCTCCAGAGTTTTTAACATTTCCCAATTTCCCACGGACTTTTTTGGTGGACTTGCTCATGAAGATTACTACAATGTGTGTTTTCCCCGTCCAACTTTGCTTAGTTTCCACAGAATGAATGCACATTTCTAAAATCGCAGCCCAAACTTCCTTACACCAAGTCCTACTGTGTTCAGTAGGGTTTACTCCTAAGTTGCCAGTGCTGCGTTTCTTGGCAACGAAAGCGTGTTTAGATGGCCAAAGGTGAACCGGTGTGGGCTGGCTACCCCCTCCTATCTGGTTATGCTCATGGCACCTCTGTGTTTGATGAGCTGCTTGAACTCACCTTCCCCAACCTGGGTTCCACGAGACGTTAGAGCTGGATTGTCCAGAAGCCCAGGCTATAGGCTATGATGGCTCGGAATGATGGGGGTTGAAGTCCAACGCACAGAGGCCACGAGGTTGAGGTAGCCTGATCTTGGGCATAGATCTTAAGCGAAGTTTCGCTTCCTTTGGAAGGTGGTCACCAGAACCTAAGATATTCACAAGCATCTGGTGACCGCCACCTTCCAAAGGCGGTTTGTTTGCCAATTATGCAACTGAAGTCCAGATTGGGACGTGGCTTAAACCTGGATGCAGCATGGAGTTTTCCACTTGCTTAATTTTTCCTTCATCATTGGCCATGCTGGTGGGGATGGATGGAAACTGGAGCCAAACATCTGGACAGCATGAGATTGGCTTCATATTGAAGCCTGACAGCCAAAGTCCATTGTTCTCTTATATGTATGCCATTGAGAACCTGTGTGCTCTAGCAGTTAGTGCTGGAAAAAGAGCTGGGGAGATCTAGGCTCCGGTCGCCCCTTAGTAGTGAAGTTCATTGGACTGACTCTGATCTAGTGACCCACAAAATAGTTTGAGGGAGATGCTAATGGAGAACCTGTCCTTCAAAATGACTTGTATGCCATGAAAAACATCACTGCCTTGGCTCGTAGAAGAAGGAGACAATGCAAAGAGACGCACCCGTTCTAATAGCTGTGCTGCCTTATCAGGGAAAGACAGACATATTCTGTGTCTTTCCAGATAAGCCAGCTCTGCTGCATGGGGCAACGTGGAGTTGCATCCACCTTGACGTGTTATCTCTACCACACACGCTACTAATATCAGGCACGTCAAGATTCTCTCTCTGTAATGGAAGGTGAACCTTACAGAATCTTGCTGTGTGGGTAGATATTGTCCCATGCAAGGAGAACTGGATCTAACAGTCTAGTTCGGTAGCCTTGTGCCCCCGGAAGTCTTGAGCTGCACCTCCCAGTAGTACAGAGGCCGGCCGTGCTGCCTGGGGACTGCTGTGCGCTGAGCTTCAAAGCATCTGGAGGAAGCTAAGGAGAGGGAGATGGGGACAATTTGGCCATCTCCTGCCACGACGCAGCGGTAATCCGTGTAGCCCCTGCTCTTGGATGGCAGGGGCCTGCGTTCCGCACCTGCGGTTGCTTTGTAGTCTCTGCTGCACCATCAAGGAGTAACAAGGTTGCCCTGGACTTCCTTCCACCCCACACTGCTGGCTCACATTCCAGGCCAAATGACA